CCTGGGTCCCCCCCCCAGGTTCCGCCGGCTGTGCCACTACATCGTCAACCTGCGGTACTTCGAGATGTGCATCCTGATGGTCATCGCCATGAGCAGCATCGCCCTGGCCGCCGAGGACCCCGTGCAGCCCAACGCTCCCCGCAACAACGTGAGCCCCCGCCTCCCCCCACCCTCCACCGGGGCACACGGGGACCCCCGGGCGCTGTCGGGCGGTGGCGGGGCTGAGCCCCCTCCTCAGGGTGCTGCTTTGCAGTGTGGGGTGCCCCTAAAACAGCACCTGGGGCTGTACCGAAATGGGGTCCCCCCTTGTCCTGCCCATGGCCCCAGGGTGCAGGGGGGTCCCACAGCCATGGAGTGGGGGGGGGTCCCAGGGTGCCAGGGGGGTCCCAAGGTGCCAGGAGGGGCCTGGGGTGCCAGGGGGGTCCTGCAGCCCTGGGGTCCCAGGGGGTTCCGGGGGTCTCGGGGTGCCAGGAGGAGCTTGGGTTGCCAGGGGGGTCCCAGGATGCCAGAAGGGTCCTGGGGTGCCAGGGGGGTCCCGCAGCCCTGGGGTGCCAGGGGGTTCCGGGGGTCCCAGGATGCCAGGAGGGTCCTGGGGTGCCAGGGGGGGTCCTGCAGCCCTGGGGTCCCAGGATGCCCGGGGAGGTCCTGCATCCCCGGGGTGCCACAGGGTCCCGGGTGCCAGGGGGTCGCAGGGTGCCAGAGGGGCTCAGGGTGCCAGGGGACCCCAGGCATCTCCCCCCACCCCACCTCTTTTCTCCCAGGTCTTGCGCTACTTCGACTACGTCTTCACGGGCGTCTTCACCTTCGAGATGGTGATCAAGGTGAGTGGGGGGGTTACGTGGGGCGGGGGGCCCCTCCGGCACCCCCTCACCCCCCCTTGCCCCCCGCAGATGGTGGATTTGGGGCTGGTGCTTCACCAAGGTGCCTATTTCCGGGACCTGTGGAACATCCTGGACTTCATCGTGGTCAGCGGGGCGCTGGTGGCCTTCGCCTTCACGTGAGTCCCCCTCGGGGACACGGCGGGGTCCGGGGCAGGGGTGGGCACGCCTGGGTGCCCCCACGCTCGGGGGCGGCGTTGGCACCGGGGAGAGGGATGGGGGGACAGCGGGGAGGGGATGTAGGCGGCGGGGTCTCGCCTCTCCCAGTGCCTCCCAGTGGGGCTGTCCCACCTCCGCTCAGCCCCGCTGGGCTCCGTCCCGCGGCTGCGCAGCCGCTCACCGCCCGCCCTCCGCGTCTGCTGCCCGGCTGTCCACGCTCTGCTGTGTCGCTTGACGTCCGTCCTCGGCCGCTTGCCGTTGCGCTGTGTCGTCCTGTCACCGTCCCGGTGTCCCCGCACCCCGGCAGCGCCGCCCCTGCGTCCCCAGGCAGGATCAGGCCCCGGTGCCTGTGGGGCCGAGCAGTGCAGAAACCCAGCTAGGGCTGGAGTAAACCCTAACTAAAGATGAGGAGTTCCTTAGCAAAGGATGAGTAGCCTCTTTGTAAGGGATGAGGGGTCTCCTAGAAACGGATGAGCATCCCCCGAGTCACTGAGCATCCCCCGAGTAAAGGGTGAGCATCCCCGAGTGACAGAGCATCCTCGAGTGATCGAGCATCCTCAAAGCAAAGGCTCAGCATCCCCCAAGTAAAGCGTGAGCATCCCCGAGTCACTGAGCATCCCCCAAGTAAAGCGTGAGCATCCCCTGAGTGACTGAGCATCCTTAAAGTAAAGTGTGAGCATCCCCAAGCCACTGAGCGTCCCCCAAGTAAAGGATGAGCATCCCCCAAGTAGCTGAGCATCCTTAAAGTAAGGGGTGAGCATCCCCTCAGGTGCGGGGTGAGTAAACCCGGAGCAGACCCTGAGGACCTCCCGGGAAGCCGGGATCCCCCGTGGCTCCCCCAGCCTCCCACTGGGAAGCTCTCACCGTGCCTTGTCTCTCCCCTTCCTCTGCCACCGGCCGCAGGAGCAGCTCACGGTAAAGTCTTTCTGCCTTCGTCTCCCGCCCGTCTCCGTCCTCGTGCTCTCCTCGTGCTCATGGTTGCGCCTCGCTCCCCCCTTACTCCCCCCTCTGCATCCCCCTCCCCAAAAGCAGCCTCAGGGATGGGGCCACGGGAAACGCCAGGCTCTCCCTGGCGTGGGATGAGTGTGGGGGGCCTCAGCCTGGAGCCCCCCGTGCTGGGCAGCCGCTGCCTGCTTGGCCAGGGAGGGGACCGTCACCGCTGGGGAGGGGAGGGGACGGAACCACCTGCGGTTCTGCCGGGACACCGGGGTGCCCCGAGCCGCCCAGCCGGGGGCCCCACGTCTCCCCGTGCCCCCCGCAGTGGCAGCAGCAAGGGGAAGGACATCAACACCATCAAGTCCCTCCGCGTCCTCCGTGTCCTCCGGCCCCTGAAGACCATCAAGAGGCTGCCCAAGCTCAAGGTGGGCGAGGGGGCGGATAGGGAGGGGGCTTCGCTCCCCACCCCGGGTGCAAGGTGGGGGGGTCCCGGCCAGTGCCGACCCCCTCCCTGGTCCCCGTCCCCAGGCCGTCTTCGACTGCGTGGTGAACTCCCTGAAGAACGTCCTCAACATCCTCATCGTCTACATGCTCTTCATGTTCATCTTCGCCGTGGTGGCCGTCCAGCTCTTCAAGGGCAAGTTCTTCTACTGCACCGACGAGTCCAAGGAGTTTGAGAAGGACTGCAGGTACGGCCCGGCCGGGCGGGGGTCCGCCGCCCCCCCGCCCCGTCCCACCGCCCCCTCCCCTCCCAGGGGGGAATACCTGGTCTACGAGAAGGACAACGAGGTGAAGGCGCAGAAGCGGGAGTGGAAGAAGTACGAGTTTCACTACGACAACGTCCTCTGGGCGCTGCTCACCCTCTTCACCGTCTCCACCGGCGAGGGGTGGCCGCAGTAAGGGCGCAGGGACCGGCGGGGGGATGTAGGGCCGGGGACACCAGGACCCCCACCCCGTCCCTGCCCTCGTCCTGCTGCAGGGTCCTCAAGCACTCGGTGGATGCCACCTACGAGAACCAGGGTCCGAGCCCCGGTTACCGCATGGAGATGTCCATCTTCTACGTGGTCTACTTCGTGGTCTTCCCCTTCTTCTTCGTCAACATCTTCGTGGCCTTGATCATCATCACCTTCCAGGAGCAGGGGGACAAGATGATGGAGGAGTACAGCCTGGAGAAGAACGAGGTGCCGCCGCCAGACCCCCCAGCGCCTTTCGGGGAGCCCCCCACCAGGCCGGGGGTTGGTGACGCCCGCCCTGTCCCCTCACCCTGCAGAGAGCCTGCATCGACTTTGCCATCAGCGCCAAGCCCCTGACGCGGCACATGCCGCAGAACCGGCAGAGCTTCCAGTACCGCATGTGGCAGTTCGTGGTGTCGCCACCCTTCGAGTACACCATCATGGCCATGATCGCCCTCAACACCATCGTCCTCATGATGAAGGTCAGCAGGGACGGGCTGGGGGTCCTGGGGAGCCCCTCTGGCTCTGTCCCATCCCTGTCCCCTGGGACCCGTGTGTGTCCCCTTGGTCCTGTCCCCTGGGGTTTGTCCTTCTCCCTGGGACTTTTCCCTGTCCCCTGGACCTGTCCCCCTGGCTCCATCCTATCCCTGGATCCATCCCTGTCCCCCTGGATCTGTCCCTGTGCCCCCTTGATCTGTCCCTGTCCCCCCAGGACCTATCCTGTCCTCCTGGATCCATCCTACCCCCCGGGATGCACCCCTGTCCCCCCAGGAGCTGTCCCTGTCCCTGTCCCCGTCCCTGTCCCCATCCTCCGCACTGTCCCCCCAGTTCTACGACGCCTCGGACGCCTACGAGAACGTGCTGAAGATGTTCAACAACGTCTTCACCTCCCTCTTCTCCCTCGAGTGTCTCCTGAAGATCATGGCCTTTGGCGTGCTGGTACGTGCCGCTGTGCACGGGGGAGGGGGACCCTGGGGACCCCAGGGGACCGGTGCCACGCGTCCGCCCCAGGGCATCCCGCACCGCACTGGCAGGATCCTGGGAACCAGTGCATGGGTAACTGGGATCCCGGCAGCCGGTGCATGGGTAACTGCGGGATCCCGGCAGGCGGTGCACAGGTACCGATGGGATCTGGGGAGCCGGTGCATGGGTAACTGGGCTCCCGGGAGCTGGCACGCCGGCGGCACCGCTGCCCCGTGTCCCTTGTCCCCTTCCCTTCACAGAATTACTTCCGTGATGCCTGGAATATCTTCGACTTTGTCACGGTCCTGGGGAGCATCACGGACATCCTGGTGACGGAGTTCGGGGTAGGTGGGAGCCGCCGCGGCCCCGGGGCCAGGGCTGGGCTCCGCTCAGCCCCGCTCAGCCCTCGTGTCCCCCCAGAACAACTTCATCAACCTCAGCTTCCTGCGGCTCTTCCGGGCGGCGCGGCTCATCAAGCTGCTGCGCCAGGGCTACACCATCCGCATCCTGCTCTGGACCTTCGTCCAGTCCTTCAAGGCGCTGCCCAGC